ACGTTAGAGAATTTCTCTCTATCTTTCTTCCTCTACTTCTCTTCTTTTCTCTCTCTCTCTCTCTCTCTCTCTCATTCTGGGCAGTACGGCCTTCGAACTTCATCAGCCTCTCCTGACTCCGGTCAAAGCCATGGATTAATATACCGGCACAATATGGAAATCCGCAATTCTAGAAGATAGCGGAGATAGTGGAGATCGGATTCGGTTCAAAATGGGAGAGAGCAAGAGAAGGAAACGTGAAAGAGAGACGAAGAGGATCGCATTGTGCCAGGAGCCCGTATGATTGGTTTTCAGATTACGCTGCGTCTACCGTAGACCGGACGTGCTTGTCCGTCTCTCTCTCTCTCTCTCTCTCTCTCTCTCTCTCTGTAGTATTTACTCCTTCCCTTCATCTCTATCGCTATCTGCGATTAAGCTTATTTGATGGTACCATCTAGATATTTCGATCTTCGATGGACGTCAAAACCGAGTCCTTTGATCACAGGTCCTGTTTTTTTGCTCCTTTTTTCTTTCTTTTTCTCTCTCTCTCTCTCTCTCTCTCTTTCTTTCTCTTTTTTTTTTTATAAGAGACATTCATCGTGATATCATATTCGTAAAACAATAAAAAGAAATTGAATCTCGTTCCAAGGAACTGATCGATAAAAAAATCTCATCTAAGGATGACAATTCTTATCAACATTTATCTTTGATATATATATATATATATATATATATATATATATAAAGAAATATATCCTATATAAAGTTAGGTGAAAAAGAGGAAGAAGATAAAGAGAGGAGAGTAGGAGCGGAGCAAAACACGAAGGTTATCGGTCTCACAGGGCTTCTCGTTCAATCAGTATTCGCTATCAAATGAGCAATAGATCGGAGGCACGTAGCTTCGTAGTTGTGGGATGGGTGAGAAGAGAAAAGGGGAGAGGAAGGAGAAGGGGTGGGATAGAGGGTTCGCACCGAGGCTCACACGCAAGCGCATTTCAGGTGATGCACACAGACGCACATTCGCATAATCCACAGCGTGACTATTAGTCGTAAGTCAATAATAAAGCCCTTGTCCGGACGGAGGCATAATGGCTCCAGTGAATTATCCTAGGTAGGGTGCATTGTCCTCTAGGATCGCCGCCGGGAATGGAATTGTCAGCCTACTATAGCCGCTATTCGAGACGCTTATGCGTCTATCTTTGTCCTAAGCGTGCACTTGTATATGTGCGGTCACGTTCGTCTGTATATGTATGTAGTACTTGCACGAGAAGCAAATCTCGATGCGAACGCGAATGCGAATGTGAACGTGAATGTGAACGTGAACGTGAACGTGAACGTGAACGTGAACGGTGCTCCGAGTAATTGAGACGGATGTTCGATTAATTCGGTCGGGATTCATTTATGCACATGGCTATTGGCAGGACTATCTATGTATGTTTGCTTTCGAAGGTACATAACATTGAAGAACATGAAAGAAGCCAATTAACACGTTTTTCCGTATTAGTTACATTAGACATAATCTTCGTTCAGATATTTGATCGTAGGTTTAACAAATCATAATCGTTCAAATCTGTAATTTGACGTTCGTTTGATCTGTAATGGTTGAAAAAGTTAATGGATATTGATTGTAAGTAAACGTCGAATTTGATTGAAAACGAACAATCTAATCTTTTCTGATCTAACGACGTACAAACTTGTATAAGTTGATTCGATTTAAAAGCTCGTCTTTCTTTCTTTCTTTTCTTTCCTTCTTTGATTCCTTTCTTTTTCTCTGATTTTCCATACAACTTAGACGAAAGAACTTCTTTCAAAGGAAATTCCTTTCCCTTTCTTGCTATCTCTTTTACCTTTCTTGAAAAGGAATATGGGAGTTGAGGAACAAGGATAGGATACGTTCGATGTGTATCTAGGTTCACGTATCCGTTCTTACATAATTTACGAGAGTATCGCACAACTTGCGTGTCCTTGACAGCTAGGAGATGCGGGTTGTCTCGTATAATAATCCTATGATGGAATATCGAATGTCCGTCGTAGACCAATGGCTTATCGCTTAACGGTCCATCTCTTTTCTCAAATTCAATAATCTAATTATATCCTATCGAGTATATCGTACAATATAACTTTACATAATGAATAATTATATAGTGTATTCGTTTGTAATATATACATCACGTTGACAAATAGGTAAATAAAGCATATCGAACGAGATATAAGCGACTTAGAATCTAGATGACATGTTATATAGCGACCGTTTAACGATCATTAAACTCCATCCGGTCCCCTTTTATTGTTACTGACCGACTTTGAAAATATGACTCCCGCGAGATTACCGTGTCAAGGTAAGCGAGATCTACAGAGAGATACACACGTTCCCGTTAAACATAATATCAGTTGAGTTAATAATCCCTTTAGCATAATCAATTTTCATCTCCTACTGTCTCGAATAAATTATAAATCCAGTCGCGTTAGACTCTTTTATTAGGAAGAATAAAAAAATGTCGTGATAACGTCTAGATATTTCCTAACTCTGGAAATTCTCTCGAATCACGACGAATCGATTTTGACGGCGAACGGACCGTGAACTTTTGAAAAGACGTCGGAATATAACGCTGTTTGAAGATGAACAGACCGGGCGATCTGTCGGTGGTAGCTCTTAAAAAATTCAGTCCAACCTGCGTTGAGCTAACTAGAGAGATAGGGGTAGAGATAGAAAGAGAAAGAAAAAGAATGAGAGAGTGAGAGTGAAAGAGAGGGTAAAGGTCCCGAAGGACGTAGGACCCGTACCATTCTCATGTACTTTTACTCCACTGTCGTCTCTCATCCCCCATAGTGAGCCTGAAGTCCAGCCTCCGGCACGCTCGTATTCCGGAATCACCGGTACCGACGTATACAGAGAGAAAGAGAGGGTAAAAAAAAAAGAAAAAGGGAGGAACCATGGAGGGAAACAGAGACGCGGCGAAAAGAGAAAGAGCCCATTGTGTTTTTCGATGGCAATCGGCTAAAGCCGGATGGACGTTTGATCGAATCAAACGATTGGTTTCTATGGTTCTTCTAAACACGAACACCGAAACGGTCAGGAACGTAGAAAATTTGGAAAGTGGAAAAAGGGATAGAAAGAGAAAGGGAGAGAGAAAGAGAGAAAGAGAAAGAGAGAGAGAGAGAAAGAGAGAGAGAGAGAAAATGCTCGGCTAGTCCCTCGAGAACTCTCGTTGTCATCGACTGATACCAAAAAGAGAAAGAGAAAGAGAAAAAGAAATAGAAATAGATAGATAGATAGATAGAGAGAGAGAGAGAGAGAGAAAGAGAGAGAGAGAGAGAAAGAGAACATAGAGATATTGCGGGAGTAAAGTCGAGTAGCTCTGAGCTCATTTGAATCCAACGCTCTGTAATGTCCTTAGGGAGCATCGGAATATCGAAATATATCGAGATACAACCACTGAAGTATCCTCTCTCTCTCTCTCTCTCTCTCTCTCTGTCTCTCTCTCTCTCTCTCTCTCTCTCTCTCTCTCTCTGTCTCACTCTCTCTCTCTTTTTTCTCTCTTTCTCTTTCTCTTTTGCACTGCATTCTAAACACGCAGTTCTATCTCTTTCATTCTTTGCGATTGCAAATAACAAAGTTCGACGAATCTCCTCTTTGTAAGAGATAAAAAAGACTTCGTTCCTTTCTTATCAAAGTTCCCCCGCCCACTCAAACCCTTCCCCTTACTCCATCATCTCCACTACTTACAAAGTTAAGATATCGAAAAGAGAAAGAGAGAGAGAAAGAGAGAGAGAGAGAGAAAGAAAAAGAGAGAGAGAGAGAGAAGGAGAGAGAGGAAGAACATTTCAACAGAAGGGCTAAACTTTCAAATGATTAGAAAGTGGAAATCAGGTAAAAGATCGGCATCGTTACCTGACTGGTCTCACGAACGGTGGAATTACTTCGAGTTGTACGTTGAAGGAGAGAAGGAGTGAAAGAGAGAGAGTGAGAGAAAGAGGAAGAGAGAGAGAGAGAGAAGAGAGAAAGAGGAAGAGAAAGATAGAGAGAGAGAGAGAGAGAGAGAGAGGAAGAGAGTGAGGAGTCTCGAGCAAAGAGCAACACTTGCCTGAGGGGATGGATTTTCCTGTCGGAGGTGGAGTTTAGAGGTCGGGAAATTAGTTTAGTTATGCGCCCGGCAGGGACGTCTCTCGCGTTTCTCGGATGAACGTAAGTCGTCGACGAGGCACGTACACCTCTCATCTTTGGCTCTGTCTCTTTCTCTCACTCTCACTCTCTCTCTCTCTCTCTCTCTCTCTCTCTCACTTTCTCTTTCTCTTTCTCTCTAGTCTCTGCCTGTATCTTGAACGTTCGAGGTCATTCGAGGTCGTTGAAGAATTGAGAATGCGAGAGAAAAGAACGAAAGAAATCTTTCTAAGAAAACTGATGAAGAGAAAACGAGAGGAAATTTCTTTTAAAGGGGATAGAAAGAAAGAAAAAAAAATGAAAAATGAAAGATAGAGTGAGAGAAATAAAGATTCGTCGCAAACAAGTTTAACTAGCGTCGATGTTAACGTTCGTACTTATAAGAAGAAACGTCAAGAGGATACTTCTAAAATCGAGAATCCATTTTGTTTCCTCTTGGACAGATTCTCAAGAAATTATCCTTTTCTTGTTCGTAACAACGTCGATTGCTTTCTTTCGTACTTAAGAAATGGAGAAAATGGAAGATTCTTCATCCTGAAAAACTTCCTTTCTTCTCTACCTTTCTCTCTCTCTCTCTCTCTCTCTCTCTTTCACTCTCTCTCTTCTTTCTTCTTTTCTTTCTTTTTTCTCTTTTTTTTCTTTCTCATATTTTCTTGTAGATGGTACTCGCTTTATAGAAATTTTTTTTTTCTTTTTCTTTTCTAATTATATTAACTGTATTTAACATTATTAAGCCTGACAATGAGAAAAGAATTAAATTGTTTGGAACGGAAGACATATATTTTATATTACATTTATAGGAAAATGTGAGCTTGGAGTTTAGGAATTTTTATCTTAAAAGAATCACCAATTCATCTACCTGAGAATCTTCTTCGGTGAATATAGCATCGAACGCGAACATCTTCGGTGCTGCTACAGTTGGTCTACGATCTTCAGCTGAGGAAGATTGACCAGATGCTGGATCCACCAAAGTCACTTGCTTCTTACGTTTATCGGCGTTAAAGAAACTACCACCGTCTCCTGGAGATACCCTAAGCATGACTTTCACCTGAAACAGATAGTAAATTATACTTTTAATATCTGCTCTATTAATCAGAAATAAATTTCTGTTAATACATTTTATATTCGAAAGTATAATAAATAAGGATAAAGATTTTTAATATAAAAATGTTATTGTAATAAATTGTGAATTTTAAAAGTAGGATCTTTTTTTTTTCTCTTTCTTTCTTTAATTCTCATAATTGCATTAACGTTATTAATATTTTTCTTAAAAAAAATTTGCAATTCCTCGATTTATAACTATTCAATTCTCGTTACGAATAAATTGGAAACTTTTCTCACGATATGGAAATAATCTGTACTCGATTGTTCGAATCATTTCGTTGTGAAAATTATTTCTCGATTCGGAAGTAGATAATTGTCGCTTATAAAATTATGAGTTAGCGTATGTTCTCTCTTTCTGTGTGTGTGTGTGTGTGTGTGTATGTGTGTAGGTGTGTTAATCGAGTACGGTCGATAAACGAACGATTTTGTCCTCGGAACTATGATATTTACGCGACAGAATTATTAGTTAATAAAGTTTCACGATAGAAATAAAAAGTCGCAAACATATATGAAACGCTACTACATAGATACGTAGATGCAGAGACATTTTAAAAAATGATACGTCGTACATTGACCTATCGGCTTTATTCGGTGAAAATTATTTTTGATTCTGACTAGGAGGATCCGATAATTAAGTTCTCGTTCGATGCACTGTACCTTAGTTCCTTAACCCCGCGTATATAGCCCTAATAGAAAATTATTCATCATTTCTACGAATAGTCACCTAATGATACCATTTATAAACATATTACGATAAACTCATATTAATTATTGATAAATCATCAACTAATACATTTGAAATATACTCGTTATCGAGTCGAATCAAAAGACTTTGGCGATCGTTTTAATTAATACATATTAATTTAATGACCAAATACAAATTTTATCATGTATCGTTGCTAGAAGAACAGTTTATATATCCCTGACTTTATATATTCTTGTTCAACGAATTCGGTAACAATCCTCCATAAAACCGGAAATCGATAATCGCTTCTGGCACTTATTTTTCAAACGATAGCATCGAGACAAAGCAATTAAACGTTCGTTAAATTCGTTTTATTGAAACTCTTAATACTGGCTCTACTTAGCTTCGAATTATGTTTCTGTCTTCTTTACCTCTCTTTCTCTCTCTCTCTCTCTCTCTCTCTCTCTCTCTCTCTTTCTCTCATTATGCAAGACAGATCTTCATGGTTGATAGGAAATCCGCAACAATTAGTATGAGCCATTAGACGGGCGATTGCGTATCAAACGTTAAATTATCCTACATTATCAATGTGTCTTACGTCAATTCCACAGTTGATTTTCATTGTAATTCCGTACGCAACACGGAAGAGAGAAGAAGAGAGAGAGAGAGAGAGAGAGAAAGAGAGAGAATTTTCTATCTTATTCTCTATTTGTCTTTCTATCCTCAAAACGGCAGGCAATGTGAGTATTAGCTCTCTAACCAGAGAGATCGATAACGTCAGACGTTAAGCAGACGAGAATAGAAAGCTAATTAAGCATACTCCAATGCAATTGTGTGAAAATTACCAGAATCGACAACTGATTAGCTTTACGAGATCTCTCTCTCTCTCTCTCTCTCTCTCTCTTTCTCTCTCTCTCGCTCTCTCTCTTTCTCTTTATCTCTTTTTCTCTCTAATGAAGCCTAGAATTCGAGAATAATTCGTATAGATAATGATTGGAATTATTATCTATATGATTTCATTGCAATATTTAGAATAAAATAATATTTCTATCATTGAACGCAATTTATGATTGATTATGATTTTTATTCGTTTACAATTAAATTCTTTGATCATATTATTCGTGTTAAAGATTTTAATAAGCGAAAGAAGAAATTTTAACTTCGATTGTCAAGCCATGAACGAGATAAAAATCGAAAATTCGTCGTTCCCTTCCTTCCCTTTTTTATTTTCCACAATTCATACCTATTCGCACATATAGAAGTAAATCCTCGCAAATCAAGATCTTCCCAAACAGAACAGAACGTTCCCGTACGTACCTACATACTTGTACATCCGTATATACATACATACATACATACATACATACATACATACATACATACATACATACATATATACATACATACATACATACATATATACATATATAGATGCATAGGTACGTACGTACATACGTATGTACGCCTATCGGATGAATTTGATTATTTCAGGAAACGATCGAGAACGAATGGTGCTGGCGTGTGTCGGAGAGCGAGAAGAATGTGCATCGATGCATTATTAAAACGTCATCACGGAGATCGATGTAGTCTGTACCGCGTGTGGTCTGATGCGCGGTGCACCAGTTCGTCCGTCTGTCTGTCCAGGAAATTGGGTTTGGAGATTTCGTTCAGATTGCGGTGCACGTTCTATCTTTTGCATGCGGGACGACCATGTAGTAGTTCTATGCGGACACACAAGTACTATACATATATACATATATACATATATATATATATATATATATATATATATATATATACATGTATATATATATATATATGTAGATAGAAAGAGAGAGAGAAAGGAGGATAGAGGCGAAGGGACGAATCAGAATTTCTTCCCTTTTCCACTCCCTCTATCTCTCTACGAAGTGGTTTCGCGAAAAGACCGAGTGGTACTGATCGGGCGACCGGAAATAAAATGGCTCCCTTCCAGTCTTATTGGAAAAACTCTGCATATCAATCGATTTGCTCTCGCTCTTCCCAACATTTCGCTGTTCTCCCCTCCTGTCTTCTCTTCTTTTCTCATCCCTTTTAGTCCTTCTCTCTCCGAAGTCCTTCTTCTTTCGCTTATTCTTGGACAAGCTTTCTTTTCTTTTGATTCATCTATACTCTCAGACAGAATCAAGGGAATCTTTCTCTATCTCTCTTTCTTTATACATATATATATATATATGTGTGTGTGTGTATGTGTGTGTGTGTATATAACAAATTTAATAGCTAAGAAAAATTTTCGAACTCGAAATGATATAAAAATGTTTACATTAAATATCATTGATAATAAATTTAATTGGACTTATTGACTTATGAGAAATTTATTCTGTTGCCTAATTCATCATTGTGAAATATAATACGATTGGTTAGAAATAATTTTAAACGTGAGAAACGTAACTTACTATTATTATTTTATGAATACCGATAAACTATACGAAAATTTCATAACAGACCGCTATAGAATTTCATAACTCCAGTGAATCCGTAACCATCAAACTTTGACCAACTGTGTCCGTCCTTTCGAAGAGAATGGAAGGTTTACCGACGCGCACGACGAATTTATGTGTCCTTCCCGCGAGTTATGAAGCTCCACGAGTTTACGCGTTCATTCACGAATTAATTAACCCGCGGTGGTCCACTGCGGCAAGTTCTCCGACTAATTCCATGGTGAATCTCGCGACTAAGCCCTTCGTAAGTAAATTAACGGATAAGTGCATATCTGTAATCTCTCGCAATATGAAAATACTATTTGATGTGTATGTTTGTATGTATATATGTGTATATATGTGCACGTAGGTACAAACGATTACGTTAAAGTTATGAATAAATTTCATTGGAAGATATTTAAACATTTTTAATTTAATTTTTATCAAACTACGTAATATAACTTTATCTTAACGTATACGTAAACGTATGTTCGTTTACATATGATCATATGAAAAAATTTCATTGGAAATATTGAAGGAAATATTTCTGGATTTTTTTTCTTTTTTTGTTTTTTTTTTTTTTTAACCATATGCACACTGCATTTGTGAAATATTTTATATCAATATTTTATTTAATATAGTATACATATAATATTTTATTTCATGCTCTAATTTGTCTTTAATGCGTATAAATATCGTCATAGAAGAAAAAAAAAATAAGAACAAATATGTCAATTAAAAAAATTACGAATCACGTGAATAATTCACATTTTTTAACTTAACATTTTTGTATAGAATCTGACGTAGATGTAAAGACGACGAATAAAATTTTTGTGGTTGTTATTTCAGCAACAAAATTTTCTTGCTTTTATTTCTTCCATTAAAATAAACGTCAGAGAAACATAAAAAAGAAAAAAAAACATCATAAATCAGTAATTAAATGACCGAGGACAGAGACGTTTCTACCCAGATCGAGTATAAGTTAACTCAGCCAAGTTCTTCGTAAATATGCAAGCTTCTCGTTCCTAGTCGATTTATTTGTTCAATTAATTTCCTCCTGACTTCTTACAACGTAGTACGCTTCTCGTATCAAACACATTTCTCGAAACAAAATGAAACGAAATGAAATGAATTGTTAAATAATTATAAAATAATATTCTAATAAAAATATATAAATGAATGAAAAAGACGGTTTTGAAATTCCGAATACTTCAATTTCGTTAATTAATGTTATTGAAAAACAAATTAAGAAGTAAGAGAAGAATAACCATATCGAAATTAGTAAAAAGTAAACAAAAGGTACAAAGTAGAAAGAAAGGAAAGATTTGATTTCGTAGTTCGTTAATCCAAGAAACTTCCGTTACGGAATCTCACCCTCCAACGAAATCTCACTTCTCTCGCGAGAGAAGCTTTGCGAGTAACACCTCCTTCATTTGCATAAGTCTCGAATTCATTTACCGGGTTAGGATTATTTACTCGTAACTCGTTTACTTCGCAATAACACGAGCTTGGTCTGTCGCTTTTACAGACATATAGAGAGAAAAAAGGAATGGAGATGATAACGAGAAAAGAGAGAGAGAGAGAGAGAGAGAGAGAGAGAGAATATTTCACTTGATACGTAATTATGTACATTGCAAATGGAATAAAACTAGTATAAAGAACATAGAAATATTATAGAAACAAAAATAAGAACAATTAGATCTAAAAAAGCTCTACAAATATCGTAAATCATTGAAGGAATTTCAAAATGAAATTTTGTTGTCTGCACTGGCGAAATTTATACGAAATTATTTGTAGATG